AAGATACACCTCTTAAACCAAAGGCCTACAACTAGGGTTTGGAGTTTCTCAAAGAAATTTGGTTTGCAAAGGTCACAAGTGGCTTCCATGGTTCTTCATAGGTCCTTAACAAGGTTCGTGTCAAGTTTCAATCTCTACATCACAAGTTTGCTCAGTCAATGACTAAAATGATTGAAAATCAATTATATTGGTCAAAAAGTCAATTGTGGTCAACATACAGTCAAACTTCAATATTTTTGGTCAACATCAATATTGTGAAGTGATATTCATCATTTGATCAAGTTTTGATGATGATTCCTCAAGGAAAGTCCTCAGATCATCAAAAGTCAAGAATTGCCAAATTAGGCTTTTCCTTAGGAGAAGTCAACTGAGCTTTGACCAGGCATAAATTTCATATGCTTCATCAACTTTTCCTCAACTAAAGCTCATTTTGAAGAAATTTAAATTCTCTACAAATTTGTTTTTATTCTCAAGTCCAAAAAATGTTTCATTTGAAAGATATGAGCTAAACCATTATAGGTCATTTTCAAAACTCAACAAAAAACATTTTTTTGTCAAGGCAACTTACGTCAAGATAAAGTCTTCAAAAGCAAAAATGATCAAAATAGAGATTGTAGAGGACATCTTTATCTTTCTAAAAAGTCCTTGATCATCTTAAAAAGATGAAAATTAAACAAGTTATGAGTTGCACAAGTTTGGAGATTTTGACGAAATTCATGAAATGCAAATGGAACAAAATTGCAATTTTGAACTAATGGGCCTAGTTTTTTATATTCAAACATGTTTATAAGATGTGATAGGACCTCTAAAAAACATTCACACATGCTCATGATTTTTATTGCTTTTATTTAATTTTTTATTCATTTAAAAACGAATAAAATTGAATAAAAAGATGAAAATAGAGTGTGAAGACTTGGACCTTTGGATTTCAAACTTTTTGCAAGCCCAACAAACTTTTGCAAGCCCAACAAATTCGTGAAATCCGAGCCACAATATGTCCAGGTTCATGCAAATTCAAAAGAGGCAAGCAATATCTCAAAGATGGCAAGTTTTCAATGTGTTGGATTTTTGTTTCATAAGTCATGAATGCATTGTTTTCTTCCATATTGGTTCACCTCACCCTCCTATTTAATTCTATAAATACACAATACATTTAGAAGCAATGGACCATGAAATCCTTGCATACAAGAGCTCTCTCAAAAAGCTCAAAAATCAAAGAAAAGTTGCAAAATCTGCAACTTCACTTCAAGACGCTATCAATCCAAACAAAGGACACTATTACATTCCCGAGATCCCCATGAGTCTTCCAGAGTCCATATTCAACCCCTAAGCATCCCAGATCATCCTCATAACCATCCCACGGTTTTTGTAAAATTTTGAATCTCAAACTCTCTTACCATGTAACTTAAATCAGTTTTATGATTGCATTCTTATTACTATTGATGTTTTGAGCGAATCTAATGTCTTACATGTAAGCATAGACGCAAGAATTCAGATGTATTGGATCAAACAAAGCTTCTGGACTCAGTTGTCTTGGGCCTAGCCAAACTCAGGAATGCACCCCCCATTTCCTTTTGCAAACACCTGGGCCTGAGATGTTGGGCCTTGCAAAAATCTGATTATTCACCCCCCTAACTTTTTTTTGCAGCAGCTCATTTATATTTCTTTTTTTATTTTATTTTTTCATTTACTATTTTACTCTTTTCTTTCAATTAATTCTTTTTATTAAAAAAATCAGAAAATCACAAAAATAATAGATTTAAGTTTTTATTAATTAAATTAATTTTGATCAATCATTTAATCAAATTTTTTTAATTAATTAACTAATTAGAATTAGGTTCTCATAATTTAATTATTTTTCTAATAAAAAATTTAAAAAATAAAAAAAAATTTCTTCCACTTAGATTTTTAGGGTTCTTTACATCTTTCTTTCTTTCTCCTTCGCGCATTCATTTATTTTTATTCGCATTATTTTCATAAAATTATTTAATTGCACATGAGATGTAATAGTTAAACTAGGACCTTTTACTTTTCATTCCCCATTTTTGGTTTGTAATTCCCCCATCCTGAAACGATGTAATAACGTAGATTCAATTTTCCACACTTTATTTTCCATACTTATACATATTTAACTGCTAGATGTATGCTTAATAGGCTTGTATGAGAAGACTGAAAACAAACGTTAGCAAACCTAACACTCAAGATAAACATAACTAAAACACAACACACTCGCACCTCTAATTTACCTCCACTTGTTGCCTTCAGAATAAAACAGTCACGTCTCTCGAACGTAAGATATTTTAGTAGAGACCATTTGGTTATAAGATCATAAGTCCCTCGATGATCCTTTCGACATTGCCTCGATAAATGATCTCAAAACCTTAGAGTAACTGCTAAAGTATCTTACGAGTTGCTTTCGTGACTGTACGATGACCCTCGCTTATCCCTCAAAATATCCAACATAGGGCTACCTACTGACTAATAGTAGGATAACATTGTCTAAAGGAAAAGAGGAAAAGAACAAATATCTTTTCGAGTAGGTAGACCGCTTATAGTTGCTTGCTCACAAAAACAAACAAACAATTTCTCACACATACACACACTCTTCTCTAAAAATATTTTCAAAGACAAGAAACACTTTGTATACGTTTTCACCGAAACGAGAAACATTACAAAGTTCGTCATATTAAGGCGTCTTTTCAGAACATCTTCAAAATACACTTACGCAAAAAAGCATTTTCAAAGTGAGCTGGCAACTAAGAGCCCATAGATAACTACGGATCGAAAGGGTGCTAACACCTTCCCTTTCCATAACCTACCTCCCTTACTCAAAAAAATTCATGAAAGGTCTTTCCTGTTCTTTTCACCATTTCCTTTGTTGGATAAAAGAAAAGTCGGTGACGACTCTTGCTAACCGCAACATTGCGAGAAAATGCAAAAACCAGTAAAATCCGTTCTCTCATCGTATTACAGGATGACACATTGGTGAATTATAAAGATATCTTTATAATTCTTCTTCTTGGATTCTCTGTATTCTGCTTCTTCTTCTTCTGAAGCGTCTTTATCAAGTGGTTCTAATTCATGTTTCACAAGATCCCAAAGACCTTGAAAACAAAATATAACCTTCATCTGTTTACACCAATTCTCATAGTTATCACCTTTAAGAATTGGGGGATTTGCTGGAAAATTTCTGTTAGCGTAATGCATCGCCGTCATGAATTTCTTATTCCTCGGTCGTTCTTGATCGTTCTTCCATTGAATCACTCAATCGGAGCTCTTGATACCAGATGTTGGAAATCTACCCAAACCTATGATGAATTTCTACCAATCTTGACGAACAAGATTGATATCACACACAATACAATAAAAAATAAGAAAGGAAGAAAGAAGACAATGATTTTTCTACAAAGTTTATCTCTACCACAAATTGTGAAAAACTTTATTATTCACTTTCCAACTGTAAAATTTTGTGTATACAATTTGATTGACTTGATTACAAAAATATGGGTTATTCACTCTGTTTATAATTTTAGGTTAACTTGCTTCCTAAGCCAAAAGCTCAAAATTATAAAAGCCCAAAATACATATTTTGGAACTAAATCAAATCTATTTTATGTTATATCTAAATCAAATCTATATAAATCTAAAACAAATATGTGTGTAACAAACTGTTTTCACACTTCTAGATCAAATCAAATTTTTTCGACATTTTCTTGTCTCTGTCGAATAAACGGTTTCGATACAAGAGATTACTTTCAACATTTATAACTATTGATATAACAACAAAAAAGAGAAAATAATAATAAAAAATAACACGATATACCAAAATGTATAAAAATTTGGTATTGGACAACTAAAAAGGTGTCCAAATATCATTTCTCTAAAATAAACACACCACCGTGTAAGGGTGGTAAAACGGACCTGACCCGTTGGACGTCCGTTTTACCCGCACCCTCTAACGTGACCGTTCCGCCTTGCCTCGTTTTTTTTGAGTTTTTGCAGTCACGAACGTTAACATAAAATTTTATATTTTTAGGCGGTGTCTGCGGGCTTTTTCCATCCCACACTCACTTTTTTACAGACCTAAGTTTGAGGCCCTCATCCTTAACTATATTCATTCTATTTTTTTTACAAGCTTTTAATGAATAAACTAAACGGAATGGACATGTCCATTTGTCATCCCTACCACCATGTGACATCGAGCTATTAACTCTAGCATTTAATTTTTTTACTAAATACTAGTAGTAGTTGTCTAATTGTCGCCATTTTTTTCTTTCAAAAGTTATTACTCAACTGAAGTAATTATTGGTTGTTGTGTCTACTCTTTACCATACATAGAATATACCAACTCTCAAAATACTAAACAAGAACAATTAGTGATCAGTAATACTATAATACAGCATAGGGTGCGGTAGGGGGAATGTAATACACGCAACAGCCCACACCACACCACATGTTTCCAAAATCACCTAACCTTACCCCCAATTCTGCGCTATTCAGATTCTTGCTTATTCATAGGTAAATTTTCAAAGGAGCAGGTAAATGTCACCTACTCTACTCTTCCTACCCATTACTACAACAATGCTTCATTGCTCCATAGAAGAAGCTAATTTTGATTAGTAAAAGCTGTAGAAATGCCACATATGGCAAATGCATGTGCTATAATACGTACTTAAAAACTTAATCTCACTTTGTGCCCACCTTAATCTCACATACAATACAACAAAACAACGTTAAGAGATTAAATAATCATACATTAATTGTCTCAAAAAGAGAAACACGTCTGATATAGATCATTGTATCATAATTGTATCAAAATAATATTATCTCCATTACATATCATCTAAAACAAAATGAATGAACCATCAATAATGGCTTCATAGTTCATACCCCAATGTACATCAGTTAATTAGTACTACCATATTTTCCAAACAAAGTTCAAACAAAAACCCACAAGTCACCTTTGCACAAAACTGCTTTCTGATTCTGATTCTGATTCTTCATGGTGATCTCCAACTTTGCAAGCCAATGCCATTGTGTTTCCTTGAAGGAGATGAAAACGGTATAGGTATTCTTCTCGGCAAGTAACCGAAAAAGTGACCCTTGTTCTGATATTTTGGCTTAACTTTGAACATATTTGTAGTTCTTGAGCCATAACAGTGACCAAATATGCAGAGAAGTAACATCAATGAGAGCAACAGAATTCTAAGCTTCCTACTAAGTAGAACCATTATGTTGTTAAAACTGATGACGATAAAAAACTGAAGATGAAGCTGAAGCTGAGGCTGAGATGATACTGTGTTTTGAGGAAAATGAGGTTGATATAGTCTTAAACATGGGGAAGTAAAATGAAAAACTGTGGTTGTCTGTCAGTGTGAGACTGTTGGCTTTGTTTTTGTTTGAGTTTGAGTTTGTTCATGTGGGTGGTGAGTGAGAGATAGTATTAGGAGTCAAAGGTGTTAAAGTTGAAATGAAATGGCTAATGAAACAAGAAAGCTTTTGGGAACGAGTCTTTATGCAACAAAGTAGTGAATAATAATAAAATATAATGAAAAGAATAAGGTGAATGGTTTGGGTAGGACCCACAGAAGAGCAGTTGAAGTTATTTTGTACAGTAAAAAAATAGAAAGAAAATCTTATTGTAGGCTCTGATTGAAGAGCTATATCAAAGGCATTCCCCTAATTAAAGGGTGTATAGTACACTAAACTATAGCATTGCCTTGTCAATGAGTACTCTTTCTCTCACAGTAAGTAAACTACCACAAACTTGGTCTTACGTACACTTCAATCTACTAGCAAGTCACTGTTTCTTATTTGATTTACTATTACAAGATTGATTGTCCTCTTTGTCACCCCAAATTACCCTTTTGTTGTTTCATTCTGGTTTGGATTTTGACTATACAATTTCAAACCCAAAATATGTCAAATGTATTTCATGTGACCTTTGTATAATACTTAATGTCATATCATTGAAGTGGAGTGGACCCTTACTTATATAACATAAGCTTCATTATGATGTGCCTGTTCCACTACTCCTTGTCAATGCTTGAGAATTGAGATATGTGTATTAATAAAAGAACCAACGGATCAAATTTAACAATGATAACATGAAAGTATAAGAAAGAGGGTCCTAGCAAATTACAGGTTGGAAATGAAGTGAAGTGAAGATTCAATTGATGCATAAACAAAAAGAAGGGTGCTATTACTATTACTTTGATTTGATGGAATTCTAGGTTTCGACCCCACTACAGAAACACTAGCTCTAAGATAATAATAACCTGTTGCATCACATTTTTCCCTTTCCTTTGGCTTTCATCATTCATCAAATTGTACATTTTCAGAGAGAGAAATTAAAGTTTTGTTTTTCTCTTTTATGTCATGTGTTGGACATTGGTTTTTGTTAGGGTCGATTTTGTGTCTCATATCTGACCAAACAAAGAAACCAACACATGGCGTGCGATAAGGAATTTTTGGGGGTGAAAAGTTTATGACAAGGAAAGTTTGTAGCGTTTGGATTAGAATTACCATGGGTAAACCAAACTAGAATGATTTATGTAGTTTGTTTTTATACAAACAATGTCGTGTAAAGAAACTTTTTTCTTGGAAAATGTTGAAATGTTGAAATGTTTTTCACTTTTTATCTATTACTACAATATTACACATGCTACGCGTTGGTTTAGTACTAAAAAGACATTCCATATAAAATCTATAACTTATAGTTGTATTAACTTTTGTAGAATTTTTAAATTTATAAATAAAAATAGAAAAAAAATGATGATGCATTGATACCGTAAAGTAACTCCACTTTTAAGTAATTTTTTAGTAGAGTCGTCAGTTCTGTAACACGGTGGAAGAACTGATTTGAGTGTTTTTGCGTTTGATCGTAATTATTGTGGATAGTAAGAGTCGTCGTCGATTTTTCTTTTATCCAACAAAAGAAAGGCTGAAAAGAATAGGAAAGACCTTTAGAGATTATTTCTTGAGTTCAGGGGTAGGTTATGAAAAGGGAAGGTGTTAGCACCCTTTTTATTCGTAATTTTCTACGGGCTCTTAGTTGCTTGCTAGATCACTTGTTTTATTTGAAAATGTGCTTTGTGACGTGGGTTTGAAAATATTTTGAAAAAAACATTTTTGTAATGATTCTCGTCTCTATAAGAATGCGTACAAAGTGTTGGTTTTGAAAATAGTTCAAAAAGGTATTTGTGGAAGATGTTTTTGTTGTGAGCAAGCGAGCAACTATGAGCAACCTACCTACTCAAAAGGTCTTTGTTCTTTTTCTCCTCCTTTAGATGTTGTTATCTTACCATTGATTTGGTAAGAAACCCCGTTGTTGGATGAGAAGGGACGGACGTGGGTCATTTGTATAGTCATAGAAGGCAACCTATGAGACGTTTTAGCAATTTCGTATAGGGACTAGATCGTTTACCGAAGGCAACATCGAGGGACATCGAGGGACTACGATCTTTTATCGAGGGTATTTGCTAAAATGCCCATATTTGAGGGACATGACTATTTTTTAAGGCAACAAGTGAGATTATCCTAGAGGTGTGTGTGTGAATAGTGTGTTTGATTGCATGCGTTTTATCTTTGATTTTTGGGTTGTCTACTTATTGGTTTTAATCTTTCCATACATCCTAATTACTAACATTTGTACAAAAGTAATAAAAATATAGAAAATAAATATCCTACATTATTACAACCATATTGAATAACAAGAAAATGTAAAGACAAAACAAAATAAAGAAAGAAAAATGAGCTTTTCGATTCAGGCGGCAACACCCTTCGATTATGCTCTTCCTAGCTTCTTTCGATTTGGCCTAGAAGTAGTAAGGACACGCCTTTCGATTTCATCTCTTTCCTGTTTCTTTCGAATGAGACCTGAAATTCAGTGTATGGGCAGCTTTCGATTCTGGCTTTCTGCTTCCTTCGAATGGTCTATGAGTTAGTGTGTGGCGAAGCCTAAGGCCACACTCTTTGTTTTGCTTACAACTGTGAAGCAGCCAGGGATGAAGCCTAAAGCTTTGATTCACACTTTCTTCCTCCTGTTTTATTTTGTTTGGGATTTAAATAGCAACATAGCCTGAGGCCATACTAACATTGTTTCATGGCCAGGTTAGTTCTTAAAATATGTTTGATAAACAAAGAAAACAAGCCATAAGATTAGCAACGAAAACAAAACAGAGAAGGTGGAAACAAACGAACCAAAGGGTAATGATGATGTCTTGAAACGAAAGGAAATGGTTATTTACATGTTATGCTTGAAACAAAAAAGCTTAAGGTTAAGAGAACTTACCTTGCTTAAAGTTGTAATGTGTATGTTGGACCTTGAGTGGCTGCCCTGAGTGTTCTTGGATTCGAAGGAAAGAAACAGGGGTTATGTTTCTAGTACTGGATTCGAAAAAAGGAACCAAGCGTTGGGTTGCTTCAGATTCAAAAGAGAAAAATAAACAAGTGTTGTGTTTCTTTAGATTCTGAGTTTGTGTTTAGTGTTTGAGAATCTTAAGAGTTTAAGAGTTTTTGAGAGTTTGATTATTTTTTTCACGCCACCCCCCAAAAGTCTTTTAGCTTGCAAATTATTTCTCTATTTATAGAGAAAATGTTAGAGATGCTGGAATAACCAAGTTTATAGGATAATAAATCATGGTTTGATTGAAATGAAAACAAGTTTGATCCCTTTTGTTGTTCCCAAGTTTCAAGTACAAGTGGGGGCCTGCTGTCTGTTAGGAGAAGGAGATTGGACTTATACTTTTGGCACTACTTGTGTTCAGACAAAAATCTGACTGGGAGCTGATTTTGTGATTAAAGTACTCTTTATGAAGAAAAGGTACGTAGATTTTTGCTATTTTATCCAAGAATAGTATTATTCAGTAGACAAAGCTTCGAACCTTTGTGTAAGCCTCTGATTATGTGAAAATTTGGAAGCAATATAGCCTGACAAGTGAGATTTGGAGGATAAGGCTATGAGATTTGCTCAAAGTTCTTCAAACAAGCTTGCTTCAAAGGGTTCAGATTGGATTCTACTTATGGTGATTCGAAGGGAACCAAAAATCTAATCGAAGCTTTGTGTGAAGGTGACTCTTGTCCAATCGAAGGCTTGCCTGCCAGAGGTCACATGGCTAAACGAAAGTGTGCATGCAGGAGGCCCCTGCTTTGGGGGCGCTAGCATGAAGGGGAAATTTTTCTTTGTGAATTTGGCGAACATGCAAAATCAATGGCTTCTGAGTCGAAGGAGAGCTGCAGGAGGCCATTGCTTTGTGACCTCAAGCAAACATGCAAGAGGCCTTTGCTCAAACGAAAGTTTGCATGAAGAGCCATTGTCCAAACCAAACTTACCTTCCAAAAGTCATATGGCCAAACGAATGATGTAACCCAAACTTGCATTCGAAGGAGGCCATAAGCCCAAACGAAAAGATGCATGCAAGAGGTCTCTACTTTGTGAATCAATGCAAACATGTAGGATGCAAATGGTGCAATCGAAGGATGTATGCATTAGGATATTGCCTTGTGCCTGCTGGCATGAAGGAAGTTCCTGCCTTGTGAATTGAAGGCAAGCGTAGAGAAGGCACTTGCCTTCTGAATCGAAGGGCGCCGGTAGGAAGCCAACGCCTTCTGAAAAGACACCAACAAGAGGCCCTTCCCTTTTGAATCGAAGAAGGATGTTTCAAAGGGAAACAAATTCTCACTCGAAGCTTATATAAAGATAGCCAATGCTCTTTAGGTGCTAATATGAAGGGGAATTTCTGCCTTGTACAGGTAGGCATGCAGGAGGCCCTTGCCTTGTATTTCATGTAGGAGGCCCATGCTGAATGTAGATTTGAAGCAGACATGAAGGTTAATTTGAAGCAAGCATGGAGGGAGTTATTTGTCCAATCGAAACAGGCATGAAAGCATCAAATGTCCAATCGAAGCAGGCATATAGGCAGCCATTTTCCAATTGAAGCAAGGGAAATCGAAGTAAACTTGTTGTTCCTTAAAAAAATCATTTTTATCTATTTTGCCCTTTTTTACAATTTCCTCTTTAACTTGATGCTGGAAAATCCAATTGTACTTGTGCAAGCTTGAGTTTTTTAGAATCCTTGTGAGAAATGAGATGGAAAATTTTGGGGTACAACAACTTCCCTTGTTCAATCTTCTTAAACCTAAAGAGTTAGATTGGTGAGTCTGTCATTCGTGACTTGAAGGTGGAAGATGATTGAACACTAGAGTGCCCAAAAATTTGCACTCGATGATG